TGGCTCATGGCCCCCCAAAAAGTTCCCCACCCCTGCTTTAGAGGACACAGCTGGTGGTCATCCTTACAGTTTGGTAGCTTTTTACCATGTGACAGGTTCTTCGAGCATCCTAAAAATGTAAACAATTATAATTGATGATTGCATATTAATATGGGAAAGAGAACTCAGCAAGGGACAGGAGGATAACAGGATGGTGTGTTGTCTCCCTGGAGCGAAAATTTGACATGCAACTGTATGACTGGACAGGATTCTGAAGTATTTGGCATGTCTCCAGTGCTGATGAAACCACATTAGAACCAATGACTCAGCATCACATGGAACTACACAGATTAAAAAAAAAAATCTTAGTTTTTGAAGAGCGCTGAAAAAGATAAACGACCAAGTGATAGTCTCTTAGATCTTTCTGTTCTGGTCCCATGAACAGAAGGCTGAAGGAGATAAATGGCTGTCTGCACTACCAGTGTGACACTGGATGTTTTGCAAAACAGTAGGCTGCATACCAGTGGGAGAGAAGATGCTACCAAAGAGATGGCCAGCTGCATATCACAGGCAGGAGTGGGATGGGAGCTAAAATTTGCAGCTGGAGACCAGCAGAAATCATATGGCGAGCATTAATCTAATAAAAAGGTGATAGTGGAAGAGGCAAATGTTGTATAAACACAAATTCAGCACATCCCAAAAACACTGAACAGATGTGGAAAAGCATATGAAGAGAAGAAATTGAATCATTTAACAATGTTAGAAATATGGGTAACAAACCAGAGGAATAGAAAATTCTCAGTGGATAGAAAATTATTTACTTTAATGAAACTGATGGGACAAATCACAGGTCTGGAATGTCAAAATCACTGCCTGTTTAGGAAGGATGGTGAAACCATTACCTATTTTCCTGTTATAGATCACTGTGCTAACTAAAAATCCAGGAGAGGGTAATGGGGAGATCTGTTACAGACTACCAAATCAAAACAGGAAAGTGTAAGAACAACCTAAATTACTCCTTTTATGCTTGTTTAATGTGTGGAAAAAATGTTTGTTTTGCAGGTCTTTAATTTGTGAGGCATGAAATGGGGGTCTTGTGAAGCTAACAGTAATACAAACACAAGACCTACTTTGGACCACACAGATACAGATTAGTTAATCACTGGACTGGAAGTTATCTAATGACCAACGATCTTGACTTGATTATATTCAATTCAGACAATGAGAACAGACCCAATTAATTTATATACTCAGGCTACGTCTAGACTGGCATGATTTTCCGGAAATGCTTTTAACAGAAAAGTTTTCCATTAAAAGCATTTGCAGAAAATCGCATCTAGATTGGCAGGACGCTTATCTGCAAAAGCACTTTTTGCGGAAAAGCGTCTACGGCCAGTCTAAACCCGGTTTTCCGCAAAAAAGCCCTGATCGCCATTTTTGCAATCGGGGCTTTTTTGCGGAAAACAGTACTGTGCTGTTTACACTGGCTCTCTTGCGCAAATGATTTGCGCAAGAGGGCTTTTGCCCGAATGGGAGCAGCATAGTATTTCTGCAAGAACACTGACGATCTTACATGAGTTCATCAGTGTTCTTGCGGAAATTCAAGTGGCCAGTGTAGACAGCTGGCAAGTTTTTCCGCAAAATCATCTGATTTTGCAGAAAAACTTGCCAGTCTAGACACAGCCTCAGTGTTTCAAAAGGGCTCCATTTCCCCCATTGAGAAATTATGAGCAAAATTTACTGGAAAGAAAAGGACAGAAAAGTGTGAACAAAAACTGGTAGTTTCATTATGTCCTTGAGATAAGCAATCCTTAACAAGAGAGGTATGAGCCAAAACTCTTAGATATACCAAATGGATAGGTTCCCTCCATAAAAATGGTGACCTAAAAAGAAGGGATTAGCTCATCCATCTCATCCTTTTCTTCCCTTCCCCAAACCATGTTAAACTATGGAAGAGGATTTTTTTCTTTAAATGTAAATCTCTACTAGAATTCTTTAGAGGTTTCCTCACTGTATCTTGTAAATGGATAGATCGTTTACCCCAGCGAGACTAATGTCAAACTTACCAGATCCCAAGCGATTTTGTAGAAGCCGCTATCTCTGCTCCACCACTGGCCCTCAGCACCTGGCAGGATGGTTCCAAAGGAACTGTGTTATAAGGGAATGCCCTCTTGTAGGGACTCTGCCACAGAAAAAGGCAGAGTAGAAAATCAAGCATGGAAGATCCTTCCATATAGGGATGATCAAAAGAATGAAGAAAAAAAACCCCTTGTCTGCTCTTTTAGGCTTCTTGAAGTCAAAATTTTGCATGCAAGTCATGTTTTAGTGGAAATACTGATGCATGGGTAGAATCTGAACATAGAATTCGGCAGGTAAGAAAAGGTTAATATGTTGGTAATTCTTAAACTATGTAGTATATTAATGTTTTGGATTCTTAAAAACAGATTTTAAACAAACATGCTGTTCTACTCACCTTTAAAAGAACAAGGTATCCTAAAACAATGTTCCACTTCAAGGAACAACCTCATTCATGTAACACTGAACGTTAACAACGATTGACCTGACCAGTTTTCTTTTACTAGTTCAGTAGTTTTCATACTTTTGTACTGGCGGCCAGGAATTATTCAGATGCTGCCCAGCTGATTAGGAGAGTGCCCACAGCTAGGTATTTTGTTTCTACTGGTAGTGAACATTTGCTCCCGCCACAGTGCACATAAACATTTATTTTGCACATGGATGGAAAAAATCTGCACATAAATGGAAAAGTTTAGCAAGAACACTGATGGTGACCCTTCATTTAGCAACACTGTGTGAACCCTCCCACCCACACACACATTTAGTATCATTATAAATGCTGGATGCAAAGCAGGTTTCCCCACCCATTTTAGAACCCCTGAAGAAATCCCTGGGCATTTTACGTTATGAATAACTTTACCCACATATCTATCTTACTATGCTAAAATGTTTTTTTCTCCTCACTTAAAAATAAACATTTATGTTTTTAGGGGAAAAAAATCTATGGTCATTCATTAGCTCCAAGTAATTATCCAGGTGGAAAGAAATGCCATCTTCTGCTGTGTTTTTGTATAGTATACAGTTGTTGTTCACTGCTCTCAGAAACAAGCTATTGTCAGTTGCCTTGTTTTTTGGGACTTTGAATAAAGGAATTTAACTGGTTTAGTCAGTGCTTTTACTCTCCCTAAACGCCATATTCCAAATTAGCTTAACTCTGAAGGTCAATAAACCCTTACTCTCTGGGCTTACGTACCCTACTTCATCAGTAAGTTATGCAACTTCAGCTATATGAATAACATATGTGTATGAATAAGTTCACATACTTAGATCTACTTACTACAGTGTTTTCACTGTGGTATGTCAACTACACACACTCTGCTGTCCACAGGAGAGAGACTGGTGTCTATACTAGACACAATAAATCAATCCCTGCTGGATCAATTGCTGCCTTAGAGATATAGACATAGCCAATGTTCCCTCTAATGACCAGGGCTCGACAAAGAGTGTAATCTACTTGCCACAGGCGAGTAGATTACGTCCCAGAAGAGCTGGCGCAGAGCGATCTGCGCATGTGCAGAATGATCTGCGCATGTGCAGAGCGCAGAACTGCGCGGCTGGTGAGCGGGGCTTGTCGCAGCTCAGCGAGCCCTGCTAATGACCAATGATCTTGACTTGATTATATGTGTGGATTTTTTCCATCTATGTGCAGAATAATTTTATGTGCACTGAGACACGTGTGAATGTACACCACTGATAGAAACACAAAACCCAGCTGTGGGCATCCTGCTAATGAGCTGGGCAGCATTTTAATTTCTCTGGAGCAGCAGCACAAGCACACAGCTTACAGGGAATACTGGACATAGCTAATAGCAGTACTCAGGGTAGGGAATACCATCTCCCTGAATGATGCTGGTTATGCTGATGGACAAATATTTCTGTTGATGAATACATGAACAGTGAGGGTTATGTCAGTGTTTTTCCCCCACGCCCCTGTGACATAGCTATGCCACTACAAGTTTCATGTGTAGGCAAACCCTAAACCTAGAAGTGTTTCCTGCAGTTAGGCTGGGCCAATTAGAAGCATCAGTGATCTGGAATTCATAGCTGAATTTTGACATCATGAAAGCCTCAGCAGGATAGCAACTCAGGTTGCTGTGATCTGTTCCCCAACCAGGGTGACTACTTGGAGCAGGCAATAGCTGTATTCCTTTCTTCTGTGTCAGCAGGGTTCTGCCCTGACGGAAGGTGCTGGTGAGTCACTGATAGAGACTTCTCAAGTGCAAGTCAGGGGTGCCAAATCCGCATCAAAAATACAGAAATTGGGCTTGGTTGGGTTGCAGCTTGTGGGTGGACTAGTTTTTCGCTTGCAGATTATTTTGGCTTGTTGCTTCTTTTTAATTTGTGGTGCGTTCACAGGAAGCAGAGCAAGAGGGAGAGAGTCCAGGGCGCACAGCAGACCCACCAGAAGGCAGACTGCATGGGAGGGGCCAGGAGGGAGGAG